CCCACAGCAGCAGATCTGAACACCTCAGATCTTACACTTCAACACATCCTCTCATTGGCTGAGCCGCAGGACTCTCGCCTGCTGGATTCAAAACTCAACAGAGTCAGTTTTTGGAAGACGAACCCTCTGCATGAGAAATAAAACGTGTCCAACCGGTGATCACTTATGTGTCTGAGGTAGAAGATGTTGCTTCACTTACGTCTGCGCCCGGGAGGCCTCCAGCTCCAGCAGCTCCGTCTTTGCCGTTATCGCCGTCAGGACCCTGGAAGCAGAAGTTCACTCCTCATTAACTCGGCCTGTTTCAGTTAAAATGGCGTCAGCCTCCGTTATCCTCTACATGAGAAAGAAACGTAACGTCCACTCACTGGTCCACCGTTCACCGTGGAGTCTTCTCCTCTGTCGCCCTGAAGACACAAAACAGTGAAGAATAAACTTTGAGATCTTGTTTGCATGTTGCACAGGGAGTTAACGACCAGAGGACAATGAGATCGTTTATCTTTAGAGGTGCTTCTGAAAGTCGACTTTTTAAAAACAGTCATGGAGGATGGGAAAAAAACAATAAATAAATTAGCTGAGCAGTTAAAATGGGAAAAATCCAACTTTTTACAAATCATGGAAACTGAACCCTCGATGAGGAACTGATCATGATCCTCGTACTTAAGTTTTTTATTTAAGGGCTTTTTTGAAGGATTTCTTAATCTTCAAAGTTTGTATCCAAGTTTCAAAATGAAGCGTTTAAATAAAGTTGCTCTGCTTGTTCTCACTTGATCTCAGAGAGACTTCATCACAAAGAAGGTGAAACTTCTGCTGCGTGAACCAATGAAAACCTCGATCACTGAGCTGATGAACCCAGAAACTGAACCTTGTGACTGAGGAGAGACGGAACTCACATCGATGCCGTCCACTCCGGGCACGCCGGCTGCTCCGGGCGGGCCTGCGGGGCCTCTGGGACCCACCGGGCCCCTCTGAAAAACAAACAGAGAAATCTGTTTTTAACCATGAAAATCATCTCTGAATATCATCCAGTGCTGCTGGAGGAGGAGGAGGAGGAGGAGGCCGCAGTGTGAAGGGCAGCTCACACAGAGTCTCATTGTCTGGGTGAGGTGGGGTGTGTGGGGGGGTAAAGGTCATGAAACTAAACCTTGTTTCCCATTATAGAGCCATTACACCACCTAAGTAACTGCATGTGTTCAGATTGCTGCAGCTCATCGGAGCCAGGTGAGCACACACACACACACACACACACACACACACACACACACACACAGCTTTTACTTCAACATAAATATCTATAAAGAATAAAGTGTCTGAGAACAGAGTTTCAACATTTACACGCCCCCTCCCCCCCAACACTGATTCTCATGCAATTAAAAAAATAATCTTTCACACCGGACTATATTTTGCTTTTGTGAAAAACCTCACGAGAAAGAAAATCTGACAATAAAACCATAAAATATGCAAAGTAGATTTGAGCGCCTGAAATTGTTGAACAGCTTTAAGTGGATTACTAAAAGGCTTTAAAGTCTCACACAGTTTGTTTCTGTACAAATGTGATGAAAAACATGAAAAATGTTCTTTACTGATCAACAAAAACGAGCTGAGGCAGGAAAACTCAACATGTAACAGGAGGTTAGAAATAATGAAACACGTCGGTACAGTAGAAACTCAGCATGAAGACACGCACATTCTGGGCTCGTAGCTTATTTTCCTTTACTTTTTTATTCTATTCATGCATCGGAAATAAAACTCTGTACAATTACATGACTGAGCTTCTTTTCCAGGAGATAAAAGTGGTGAAAAGAAAGAGCACCTGTCTCTCACCTGAGCCGAGCAGATCAAGACGATTTGTAGTAAAATCACCAGTAAAGACGCCCGACAGATCCTGGACGGAGCCATGGTCGTCCCACGGCCGAGGAGGACACTCACACTCCTTTTTTACCCAGATTAGAGACGGGGCTCACGGACGCTCCACCTGTCAGTCTCCCCCCTGAATAAAACCCCACCGCCTGCTGGAAGAGGAGGATGTTAGAGAGTCCTGATTATTCATGAGGAGCCGAGGAGGAGGAGGAGGAGGAGGAGGAGGAAGGTCTGCACACACAGGGTGGTATTTACCTTTACTTTGAAATGAAATGAAGTTAAAAGCTAAAAGTCCAGTGGAAGTTGACACTGACAAAAAAGAAGTTTAATATAATACTTGACCTTCAGATAAATAAGTCAATCTTCCTTTTGGCAAATTTTTACACTTTAAATATTTTTTAAAAAATAAGAAGAGAAATTTGAATGCAGGTTAATTTCTCTATAGGTTGTTGATATTAGCTTATGTGCTTTTTGTGAATCAACTGATCTGATCTACTGTGAAGTCTTGAGAGGTCGGGAGCTTTCCTCTTGGAGCTTCTGAGGTGTGGGGGCATGAAATGAAGACAGACGGGCTTTGCTTTCCAAATTACAGTTTTTTTCGATTGCTAAACGACAGTGGGCACGACTGGAGTCACATGTGCAAAACTCTAACTACAGTCTGCACTTCCAACAGTCACCTGAGCTAAACAGTTCACA